GTACGTCTCTCTCTCTCTCTCTCTCTCTCTCTCTCTCTCTCTCTCTCTTCAAGCTTCAAGGCCATCCCCTACCTGGTTCATAGGGTTCACAAGTCTTGGCACTCCAATGATCTTTCTCTTTCATGGCAGAAACGAGGAGGTGTATGAGATGGAAGGGACAAACTATGAGCTTTGTCTTGGACATGCCTATCAGCTGGGGAGACTGAGATAACAAAGAGGTGTTTGTCTAATGGGGACATGTGGATTATTGATCATTGTACAGATTGTATGGACATGTGGATTACACCAAGAACTCGACATGCAGAAGTTTGAGCAGCATCTTCCAAGTGAAGTTTCAAGAAGAAGTTGGGGTTGGGGAAAAAGGAATGGACATTAAATGAGAGGTTTAGTGCTGCAACTGTGGAGAAGCCTTAAACGATGGAGAAAGAAACGATAAATATTCGTAATATCTGCAATTAAGATTTGTGGTCTATCACATTTCTTCCATTATTTTTTCATTTGCGCTTTTTATTTTTATTTTTTACTCTTTGAATAATCTAAGAAAGTATATTAGAATTATTATACAAGTTGATAAGCATCAACTTATGACATCATTACGTACATGATTTCTTTTTCTCTTTTCTTTCGATTACATAATGCCTGTAAGAATTGCATGTCCTATTATTGCGTGTTCTTCTCCACTCCACTTCTTATCTTGGATAGAGGGTCACAGTACCAAACCCCATGCGCCCAAAAAGTCAAAAGGCACCCCCGAAAAACCACAGCAAAGCTACAAGAGACCACTGCTGCTGCTCCGTATCTATTCCTGCCTGCTCCGGATCTGTTCCTGCCACCATAACTAATCTCTCTCTCTCTGATCTATCTTATCATCTGCTGATCAGACTCTGCTGTTCTCTCTGCTGAGCGTCCTCTGAGTTTACATGTGAGGGTAGATAAGACATCCTTGTAGACACCATATAAACAAGACCATATGGTCATGTCCTGCTACTTAAACTAGTTTTGCGTGGCCTCCCCATTTGTCTTGCTTTGCCGGATGAACCCCGAGCTGATGCTGTCACCATCCAAAGAGACCTGCATATGGTGATGAGTATGCCCTCGGATGATGAGACTATGCAGGGTTGTTCATGGTCCCCTTTTCTTCTCTCTCCCTCTCTCTCTTTCTTATCATCTCAGATGCTCTTGGCCTTCTTCTTTTCTCACCGCTTTCCTCTTCTTTCTTTTTCCTCAGCCTCTTTCCATCTTAACCAGGCTGATGCTGCTAAATTCACCCACCTTCTTTAGGCAGGCTGCTAGGGTAGCATGTTAGGCAGATCGAGGAAGCCTCTCTCTCTCTCTCTCTCTCTCTCTTTAGGGGTCAGTAGCACACAGATTCATCTCTGAGCCTCCGCTGATCTATCTTTTTTGGAGTCAGCCCTATCATATCAGGAAACAAAAGGAAAGAGAAGGCTCAGCATATAGGAGATCAGGCCTAGCTAGTTTTGTGGTTCTTTCAAGGAAGGTCAGCTAGCTAATGGAGGGATTTGGAGTAGAGACTCCCTCTTCTTCCTCTTTCTTGTGGATCCCATCGGTGGCGGAGCTTGTACGACGAGCGCCGGCCCGACTTCTGGACCGTGAGCTCATGTTTGACAAGGTGGTAACGCCCAGCGACGTCGGCAAGCTGAACCGCCTTGTGATCCCGAAGCAGCACGCGGAGAGGTTCTTCCCCTTGGAGCCGGCTTTTGCGGACAAGGGCCTCGTGCTGTTCTTCGAGGACGGCGCCGGCAAGCAATGGTGCTTCCGCTACTCCTACTGGAGCAGCAGCCAGAGCTACGTCATAACCAAGGGCTGGTGCCGCTTCGTCAAGGAGAAGCAGCTCGATGCCGGCGACACCGTGTCGTTCTTCCGCGCTCGCTCCGGAGAGGCCGGCCAGCGTCGACGCCTCTTCATTGACCTGCAGCGCCGCAGGCACCGCCCTCGGCCAGTAGGACATCAGGGCGTCCTCATAGCTTCCACGGCGCCGCCCCTGCGCGGGAGCTGGCTGCCGCACTTCTACTACGGATCGGTGGTGCCCCCGCAGCATGTTGGAGCGCAAGCTGCCGCAGGTAGAGCCGACATGGGGTCCATGCCCGCGGTTTTGGACTCGGTGCCGGTGGTCCTCGCCGCTGCTGAGCCAAAGCGGATCAGGCTGTTCGGAGTAAACCTAGAGTGCCCAGAGACGGAGGACAGAAAGAACTCTCCATTGCTGCCTCCTTGTCAGTGGAGGACTGAAAGTGATGAGTCCACCGACATCTCCACAGAGAGGAGGCAGACCTCCATGCACTCCCACTTCGGGTGCAGTGACAGGGAAGAAGGAAGAAGATGAAGAGACCCTGATCATAGCCTTTCTACTTCTCATCTGCCACCATCACATCTTCCTCAGTAGAAATAAGCCTCAGTATTTGGCCAGTCTTTTGATTTCCTGAAACATGGCTACTAAATTGAAGACCTCGTGATGTGTTAGATGAGAGAGAGAAGAAGGGAGGGATGTCATTTCTGTATTTGATTTGTTCATCTGAAACTTTTTGATTCAATTGTACATGATGATGCATCTTCTGCTTCACTCTCCAACTTACCACCTTCCTCTATAATTCTTCCTCCCTAAACCTCAATTCTTGTGTGATTCTGCGATCTGTTTTCTTGTTCTTGGCAGGTTTCTTGCAGCCTGATTGCCTTACAGACCATTGCCCAAGGAGTACTATCAGTGGCATGCCAGGTTAGATCTCTCATAGAGAAATCCTCAGGCCTTGTGAAAATTTGGATCCATTGGGAAGCCTTAATTGTTATAAACATGTTGCATTATTTACGCACCAACATGCATGGTCAAATATCTTGATTTCTTTTTACTATGTTAGATATGGATTGTAAAGATAATGGATATATATACAGTACAATTTTTCTCCTTTCCTTTTTTTTTTTGTTTATATTGCTGCAATTGGCAACTCCTAAAGATTTCTTGTAGAATATTAGACTCTTTCCTTTATCTGTGTAGTGCTTTCTTGCAAAAGAGACTAGCATTTAATGTTTAATGCATTTCAAACAATAACTGGTTTGCTGTTGTGAGATATGAATTAAACATACATAATACACTTAATACTGTATATGAATGCAATCTTACATAGGCTCATATGCACATGTTTGAATATCTCAATTATGCATGTTGATATTGTAGGAACAAGGAATATGGTTACCAATTGCTACCATATTTGAGTATACATTTAAGCATGTCAGAGACTCATTCATTATTATCCTCCAATTTTTTATGAGAGCATAATTTGATTCCCTATCTTTTCCATATAATGTAATTGGCATATTTATCAGCAAATAAGTTTCTTTGATCTATAACTAGTAATACTTTTCAATTATCATGAACTAACTCAAGCAAATGAACATATATATATATATATATATACACACACACACACACACACACAAATATACATGTATATATACTTGGAAGAATTACATTACAAAGAATAATTTACACTAATTTAGAGCCATCTATGATAGGAAAAATAGCCCCAAGCACTTTCACTTGTTATTTTGGTAGCAGGAAAAACTGTAGTAGTACTTTTAGTGAGGCTTACTAATATGTTTTATTGAGTATTAGACAAGACTCTTTCTTTGGACAACTGGAAAGAACCTTATATATCCCTTTTGTGATTATTCAGTTCATTTTCTATATTTGATATTTTGCCTGCATCAGGTAATTATTTGCAATTGGATCAACCCCTATGAATTATGACAGGTTTAGGAGCTTTTGCAAGCAAGTGTAAGCTACTTTGCTTTTGTTTGCCTTAAAGCTACTTAATTATCTGATTATTATTTGTATGTAGCTTCTACTAACCTATATGCTTAATGCAATTATAAACATATTATATCTAAGGCCTATGGAAACTATGATATCATGCAAAATCATAGTCTTAAATACTGCAACTTTCTTAGATCTAATAAGCATTGCTAGGTATTCCATCAATCCAACTCTACTTAAATGAGAGAAAACACCAAATTTATTGAACCATATAGGATGGATACAATATCTCTATGTGATTTCTTGAGATGATAACTGAAACTTCTTGAGATGTGAGGCAAAGTCTGCATTTTTTGGACAGTTGATTAGGCCACAAAGAATGTGAATGTGCCACTGAATGTTCTTTCATGTTGTTGGAGAAAATGGAGCCATTAGCATGTATAGGGTGGAAGAATGAACTACAGTATTCATCAAAGCATGATCCTCCTAATCCATGGAGATCCACTATGCATCTTGAAGCTTGTTCTTTGCTTATCTAGCAGTATCAAAAGTCCATATGTTGATCAACATCTCAAACTCTCAAACTAATGTCAAGGTTTAGGCCATACAAATTTAGGAGGTCAAAGAGCACTAACTGTAGATTTAATCTTACAGATCCTCAACTCTTTGCTTGCTATGTGGTGCATCAGATCATAGCAACAATCGTCATATCATGTTAATACTTGCATCCATGTCAACTATGACCACTACTGCTGGTCTCATCATGTTATACTTACTAATCCCCAGTCATACCATCTGAGAAAGTTCTGGTGCTGCATACTCTTGTCATCTGAATTGTCTTTGATGCATATGAGGATGGAGAAAATGGAAGATTGGAATTGGTTTCTGTAGAGAGAGAGAGAGAGAGAGAGAGAGAGAGAGAGAGAGAGAGAGAGAGAGAGAGAGAGAGAGAGAGAGACATTGGCTTTGATGCTCATCACTAACTCTGTGGTGCAATGGCTACAACGCACAAGTGAAATTGACATGCATGGTCATTGATTATTTTCTGCATATGTTTTCTGCAGGAGGACGAAGAAGATGCAAGGTTGGCTTTCATCCTTGTCACTGTGCAGTGGCCGAAAAGAAGGTTGGCAGAGAGTTAGGCATCTCAGGAACAAAGGAAAAGACTGTTTCTGTGCAGTGAGTCCGCCTTTATATCGCATGCTTGCATGAGCTCCATGAACGTGGCTATAGCAGCTGTAGCTCTCCTTGAATCTAAATTGTCATCATATATCTTCTCATTATATCGTGCGAAGATTAGTCGACCAGCATAGTATGCACAGAAAGAACAATAACATCCGTGATGAGTTAGACCTGAAAGTTCTTTTACTGAATCATAAAGCTTGAAGAATGTTGGAGAACATTCTGTGCTTACTGTGGTTTGTTGTGATGGCTTAATGTTTAGGATTTGATGAGGAAACTTATTGGTTCAGATTTAACCAAATTATTAGGTTATAATTATTTCATCAAGTAAGGTGAATACTAAATTAGTATTGGGGGACACATAAATCATTATTGAAATATGTCTCAATATTTCAAGTTAACAATAATATACACATCAAACCATTATAAATCAATCTAAATCTTTGTCCATCTTTAACGTGAGATTGATTAGGGTTTTTGGTGCTGGAGGAGGCAAATGAAGATTTAATAATACTTTATCAAAAAAAAAAAAGAATATTTGAATGATTTTTGTGTAACTAAAGATATTGCATTATACAAAATACTTACTCTAAATAATCGAAGAACATTCATGGATTCAAAACACAAAACAAAAACAAAAACAAAGCATTGTTTCTTATCACGGGCTGGAAATACTACTTATGTGTGCATGCATTTGCGCTATTGGCTTCTGGAGGAGTTGTTGCATGGCAGCAGCAAGTCTGCTGCAGAAGGGCGAGCCATCGGCAGTGGAAAGCATATGATGGAGAAAGAGTTGCTCGCGCCACCTCAGAGTCTCCAACAACGTGATTCCTTTCTTTCTTTCTTTTCCTGCATGCGACCTCCGTCGAGAGGAGAAGAGAGACACCGGACATTCTTGCACTGAATCATCCGGTGGCGTGGCTATCTGCTCCACCGGTAACTAATAAAAGTGTGTTAGGAATCAGTCGCCATCTATTACGACCTCCCATTTAACCCCACGTTGGAAATAAAAGATGACTTGATATGGATGCTTCAGGATCCTCGATGAACCTAATAATCTCGAGGAAGGGAAATAGGAAATTTTGGTGAGAATGAGATGCCGTACGTGGTAAGGACCATCATGTAGGTCGGGATAATAACATATGCACCTCGAAACAACAAGAGGCATCAGTTTCAGAGAGCTGCTACACTCGCTGCCCAAGTCTTGCTAGGGGCACGGCACTCGCAAGAGGTAGGAGGCATTTTGAAGCCATTCATAATAGAAGGATCAGAATGGTTGCCGAGTTTATCCATTTAACTTGGATCTACTCGAGCAATACTATCTCCAACCGTGTAGCATTTTATTAGCCAGCGAGGGAATACAACACTGTGATGAACAAGCTAGAAAAAGGTTAGCATAAACAAACTAGGATGATACAAACTGAACACCACAAGGGTGCAATTTTACATGACCAGACCAAGCAAAACCTATGTAATAACAACTATGCAGCTGCTGCCTTATAGCTGAACACTAAGAGGGCTCATGCACCTCCGTATTCCAAAACACAGCAGCAAAAGTACCACTGAGAGAACCAAATACATCATATAAACTATGACTGAATGGCCTCTAGATGCTTTTGGACATGAGGGCGGCGAGTGTTTATGCATATTCTCACTGTCGCTTGTCGATTTTGTTCTCAACCTGAGCACGGAGTCCGGCATTTGGTGCTCACTTGAACCACTTGGTTTTTCATCTGTATCTAATACCAAAATAATAATAATAAATATATATAGTTAGCAGGAGTCTATCAACTGAACCGGAATGCAATAAGAAGAAAGCATCAATTCTGATCTTCTTTACCAAGTATGGATGATTGGTCCAGCTTGTCTGGTAAGGCAGGCACAGCACTCTCCTCTCCTTCAGAAATGTTGTCACCCACGTGTTCTTCCACCTGCAGATAATAGTGTTTGGATTGTAATTAAAGATGGATAAGCCAGCCATTTCCTTATGCATAATGACAAAGATTCCTCACCTCTGTTCTGCCTGATCTGATCCCATAGTCACTACTGATACTTGGTTCATGATCAAAACCTGATGGAAGTTCATAACACCAAGTGTCATTTATTGATGTTTCGCCCTGCTGTGCGAATAACTCATTTGGAGATTGCTGATCCCTGATCTTAAGTCCAGTCTCCACAGGACCATCTCTGTTTCTCATGGTATTCTTCTTGGAAGTTGCTTCCTCCATGGTACCCAAGATATCTCCTTTTGCGTTTGTCGTTGATGCTTCGTCTTCATCATTACTCCTACTGAGAGGTTCAGCAAACGGCACCTTCAAAATTGAGGATTGCAAACGAATCCTTCTCGCTGCAGTGCCCTGAACAAAGAAATTGTCTGAATTTGGCTGAACAGGCTGCATTTGATGACTCACGATCTTGATTCCAGTCCCCTCAGAATCATCCTTACTATCTGATACTGTTTTCTGGTTATTCAATTCCCACATTCCATTAAACAAATCTTGCAACGAGTCTGCACCAGAATCAATGGAATACATATCTGTTCCAGTAATGTCATAAGGTAGCAGAGTTGCATTTTCGTATAGAGTGCTCAATTGGGTTGGCAGAAGAGATGAATCGGTTGGCAGAAGAGATGATCCGCAGAACCACTCGGAAGCTTCCAAACCTGCACCACCCTGAATTACAAAAGGAAATGACAAATTAGGGATTATACTGGTTCTTTGATACAGGTCACAGATTCTGATGTAAGCATCCTTACCTGCGGTAAACCTGGTTCAGTTTCTATATCACTGCTTGTGCCGCTATCCTTGCATGATGCTGAGTCCCACAAACTGGGTTTTAGCAAATTTCCAGCAACTGAATCTTTTGAAAAGATTGATGCACCAGAAGAAAGATTGTCAGGATTGAGTGCTGAAATTAAGAATTCGTTCAGAAGGTCTTCATCACCATTATCAACCGGAAGGGATCCTATCTGAAATTCCTGGTTTTCATTGCCCATGCAAGTATAGTTTGTGTCCGGTAGTTCTATGGAACTGATGTTGGGAAAAACATCACGATCTATTTGCTCATTCCCTGGGTCAAAAAACTTGGCTAAGGCATCCTGCAGAGGATCAGCCTGCAATTTTGTGTATTACCTTGAGCGACGAGAAAATAAGACAAGAAAAAGAAAAACTTACAAATAGTCATTTCAACCGAACCTTTTCTCCCACTTCAATCTCTTCATCAGGTGAATCCAGTTTGCAATAACTCCTCCCAGGTTTTACGGATACATCAGTTGAACAGTCAACTTTATCAACCATTCGTCTCTTGATACCAGCGGGCTGCTTATGAACAGAATCAGACGAGGATTTTGGCTCTTCCTTCAAGTCTGACTTTGGAGAGTCATTCAACAGAGTCTCAGTGTCATCCATCACATCTGCTTCATGCTGTGTATCACCAGGAGAGGACTTAATTGGGCTCGGAGAGAAACCATTTGTCTCCATTTCATCTGCCTTCGAGGTTGAAATCCTCTGTTCTAGCTTTCTGAATAAGCGATAAATAACGTAACCACCCTGCACAAATGAAAATACTGTAAATACACAGAAAAAAAAGGCACTAATGATAGATCAGGAACAACCTAATAAATTCGAACTTGAGCTAATGTCCAAATGGACTATTAAGTCCAACATATCACTCGCAATAAACTTCCCAACATTTTTTGTCGATAGCACCTTCTCGTTGCCACTGATGAACCCGTATACCGTGGATCCCTCAAAAAGGAACTACGTTACAGCTGCAGCAATTTGCCTAATAGAAATCAAGCATATTTACATAGCACCTCAATGGAAGCTCAAGAAAAAGACTCTTTTTCTCGACATAAGAATCAATCTTGCTCTATCTCATAGCGTAAAAAAGAAGGCAATGACTCTCTGATCAGGGACGGTCTATGTAGGAGCAAGGGAATCCCTACCTGATCGCCAGACTCGAACTCGGGCTCAGTAGTTCGGTACTCGTGCATAATCCAGTGGGTTCGGGCGCCCTTGGGAGCTCGCCCGCGATGAAAAACCAGCGTCTTCTTCATGCCGATAATGGTACTCTTCCCCGCGGAAGACTTGGACCGTATGATCCGGTCCTTCCCCGTGGCCTTCCAGTAACCAGCCTCAGTAGCTCGGTTGGACCGATGGCCGTTCGGGTACTTGCGATCCTTGGGCGCAAAGAAGAACCACTCAGGATCGTCCGACTTAATAACGGATTTATCTGCATCGGAACGCCCACCAAACTCGATCATAAACCACACCAAGATCTCCACTTGTACCACAAATGTTCCCACCACAAACAAACGAACGAACAAGAACCGGGAGAAAGAGGGTAGTACCAGGAAGATCCCACGGTTCACACTTGCAGACATCGATCTCGGGGATGACCTCCATCTGGGACCTGATCCGGCCAGTGATCTTGGGCTTGAGGTAGTAATTAACCAGCTCCTCATCCGTGGGCTGGAATCGGAACCCCAAGGGGAGCGAATCCAGGGCAATTAACGTCATCGCGTCAATCTCTTTTTTTGTTTCCCTCGGTACCTACCCAAAGATTACCACCGTTGTAGATGGAATTAAGATCTCTTTGGCGTCAAATCTCGCATGAGTGAAGGAGGAATCGATGGATCTCCAAGAACCCTACACGAATTAGGGCGATTGATCACTCCAATCCCTCTAGGGTTGGGGGTTTGGCCAAAAAGAAGCTTCTTTGGTGGAGCGGCCGAGAGCGTGATAGAGATACGGTCAGAGGTGTAGAGAGAGAAAGACACAGAGAGCAGCCGTTGGCCTCACGTTCCACTTAAATCCTCAGGATATACCTGTCCCCGATGTCTTGAGAAAATTACGATATATGCCAGTATATCCTCTCTTTCACGAAAATACCCTTTCCTCCTCGTGCAAATAACCCCGGCAGCGAAGAATCGTGGTGGGCGTTCTGGTAAATTCAATCGGAAAAGGCCCTGTGAGGACGCGGTGTCCTCTTACGACCAACCGAGTCGCGACACGTAAGATGGTCGGCGCCGCGGGCCCACAGCTAGCAGGACCAGTATTCGATTGAGGGGCTACGCGGGACGCACGACCGTCCGATGAAGATCCGACGATCGATAAGGTGTCCACGATTCGAAACACCATATATGTATTTACTTTCCCTGCTCGATATCGCTCGTCCAATCGCGTGCCTTCCTCGTGAGGTTGGTGCGCCCCGGGCAACTGGAGGTGTTCCGGGCAGCTGTTCGAAGGCACCGAAGGTTACTCCAGTTGGCGAAGCCAATTAGGTCCTTCCTTCCTTAAAGCTCATCACAGTGCAGTGCTCGGAAACAGAGAGAATAATGAGGGGGGCTGGGAAAAAGAAGGCAGTGTGGTGGGGAGGGGTTACGTGAATGGAAAAGATGGCAGAGACGCCACCAATCTCTCACGATGGGGAGAAAAAGAAAGCCTCGGTTGGCTCGAGGCTGCTTTTCACTCCACCATTTGCAGATCTGAGGCTGCAAACACAAAGGGTAAAAGGAAGCATTTCGGTGCACCTCTTCGATTTTGCTTGCAACTCCAATTTCGGGTAAATCGACATATGTATTGTTTATTAAAGGACCTATTTCTGGTGATTTATCGTGTGGTTATGGACAACTGAGATGCCCTGAGGGGAAGAACAGATGTTTCTGGTTGGTGTGTTTGCCATGCCTAAGGAGTTGGAGTTAATGACTTAAAGACCGGCTTTTGGTAAAGCATTCTGCTGCCATGGGATTCTGTCCTCGTCTGTGTCGGAAGACACACACCACCTTGAGCATCCATTGCAGCAGGAAAAGATGCCACCATGTTTCCTTCGTTTTCCATCATGGAAATGCATATAGCTTCCAGTTTTCAAAACATAGAAGACACAAGACAATGGAGTGATCAATAATTCCAAAAACTTAATCTTAAAGAAAAACATTTAATATATTTGTAAACTTTAACAGTGAATATAACAACGACAAATTCCTCATCAAAGAAATAATGAGACGGCACGCATCACAAAACACGCATGTTGTCAATCAACACAACCTCATCTCCCTCCTAAGAAGCCGATCGTTGCAGACATCGTTTATTATCACCGACAAAGAGCAATTCCGAAACCCAACGAGAGGAAACACCGAGCTACAGTGGAGTTGTAGCTTTCATTTCTTGACGACGCGGCAAGACTTCCGGATCTGTCCCTGCGCCCCGGTGAGCACCTGGATGGCGCCCATCTTCACCATGGCCCTGCCGAAGAGGCTGGGGAAGCTGGATCCGCCGTTGGCCAGCGACCTGACGGTGGCGTTGGTGGCACCGTCCATGGCTATGTTCTGGTCGACCTTGAGAACCCCCCGCTTCGCTAGGATCTGCTTGTAGTAGCCGTTGTCCACCGTGCTGGGCGTAGAGTGGTCGAGGAAGACCGTGTTGTCCACCGTCGAACTCTGCGGGCACCTCGACCGAAGCAAGTTGACGAGAGCGGGATCCATGGTCGGATCAGGTTTTCCGGACCCGTTGTAGTTGTACAGACGATTGCGGATGAAGGAGCAATGCGTGACGCCAACAGTGTGACCTCCTGCGGATCACAAAAGGAGTTGCTAACGATCCACTACAGTTGATCTAGATGTGGTCGAGCATCTGTGGAAGAGTAGGTTACCAAGCAGCAAAACCGTGTCGGAAGCGCTAAGCCCCTTCGCCCCGAACGCGGCGATAGCTTGCGACGCGGAGAAGGAAGCGCCGGGGAGATTGCTAATCGCCTCGGAAGCCAGCGAGACGACGCCATCCCTCCTCCCCGTTTGAACCGCGTACGTGTATTGACTCCCACCACCCTGCGATGACCGAAGAGAGAACATAAGATCGTTGAAACTGTGAAGAACAGCTTGTGCAGTCGGACGCTTACCAGCACGACAGCATCTCTTGTGGCCACGGCAATGATATCGGCGCAGGAGACGACGCCCGGGCATCGACTCTCCAGTGCAGTCTTCGCCTGATCGATGAGGTCGTAGCCTCTCACGCTCAAGTTGGGGGGTGCAGTCTTCTCGGTTCCGCTCCCATCCAACAGTATCGAAGCGTCGCATCCCTTTGACACAGTAGCAGTCGATTACTACGATATCAAACGCGGAAGATTATATGGTAAGTCGAGAACTCGAGATTACCCTGACGAAGCAATCATGGAAGTGCAAGCGGAGGAGGGCGGGGACGATGCTGCTGTCCCGACCAAAGCGCGCAGCGACGACACTTCTGATGGCCGCCTCCACATCGGTGCCGTTGCATTTCCCACTGTAGAACCCAACCTGCAGCGCCCCGTGGCTGGGGACGAAGGCAATGCACAACAGAGCAAGGAGGAGCACGGAGGCACCGAGGACCACAGCCATCTTGTGTTGGGTGATGGTGGAGGGTGGTGAAGACCGGAGCCGCGGCGCTGCCTATTATATAGGAAGGAACTCGCGATTGCACTGCCTAGTTTAAGACGGACGTGCTGCCCAGTAATCTTGCATGAAGATGGTTGCTTCCTTTGTTTTCTGCAAGTTGCATGTCATTGTGTCGAACACTTGGGATCCGTCGTGGTTTCACTTCCGGAGACTGATTCAAACAAATCATAAGCTCAGATTAAAAAAGAATGAAGTCAGATTTATAAAGCCTTCAAAACTAGCAGAAATGTGGACTGGAAAAAGCAATTAAATAAGGAAAGTCAACTTATATAATCCTATTCTTGAAAACACAAGGATACTTTTTGCAACTCAAGTTCTAATCACACATTATGATGCCAAAGCACACCCAAAATTACATGAACAAATGATAAATGTTAATAAGGGAAATTGGGCATTAGTTAAAATCAAAAAATCTATGGAACTAATCATTTGATGACTCTTATGAAAAGATATTTTTAGCATTCTTATCGATTCAACATGTTCTAACCCATATGTGTAGGAATGTTTGAGTTACCTTCAAATGAAAATGATAAGCTCCTAAGGTACCACCTATAAGAAGAAGAAGGTTGAGAAAGGTTTCTAGATCTGATTCTTCTAATGCCTAAGTTAGTAATATGATAAAGGTGAATACAGTGGTCAATGGTAAAAGGTAAACCCGCTTGGTAATTGCACCAAAAATAAACTTTTATATTTAATCTTAAGAGGCAAAATATTCTATGGAACATTCAACAGGGAGACAACCCTTAATGTGTTAGATGATGATTGATCAAAAATATTCTTCGCATCATTTGTCTTATTTGAAGGTATGCTTTGGGAACTCTTCCAGAGAGGTCCCGAAGTATAATTGTCATATTATCCGACATGTGCGTTATGTAGAGGTGGGGGAAGGAGCCATTGAGATCCTAAAGTATTACTCAATTTATTGAGAGACCAACTTCAGGCAAAGGATATTTGCACTTGGTTGACTTTTTGTAGGAGCCAAGGCATGGCCCTCTATTGCTTGTCACTAAGGCAGGCTATGGTGGGCTCCTTTTTCACTTATTGTCGGGGTGGGTTCCTCTCCCACTTGTCGCTAAGGCTAATCATGGGAGGAGTCAAGGTGAGCTGCTCCTTTGCTCGTCACCGAGGTGAACTATGGGAGAGACCTATGCTTCGACCTTAGGACGGCTATGGCAAGCTGAGGTGGATTGTTGTTTCTTCACCTTAGTAGCGAGAGGGTATCGAGTTTCTCTACCTCCGTATCTCGATAATAAGGGGGGTTGGGGTACTTAACTTATGTGCATCGATAATAATGGGGGTCGAGGTGCCTAACCTCCAAACCTCGGTAGGTGGGACTGGCTTTCTCAACCAGTATGTCTTGAGCACTTCTTCCTTTACATCACTCACCATGGCCAGCTTCATCTTACGCGAATCGGGTTTTCCTAACTAATACGTCTCAGACATATTTTGTCTTGTGCCTTTCACCATGGTAGACTTTTTCTCATATAGGATGATTTTTCTGACTCACGTGCCTTAGACATATTTTGCTTTATGCTTCCTACCATAACAAATTTCTTCTCATGTGATTCAGGTTTTTTTTCGATTCTTGTGCCTTAAACACATTTTATATTGTGCCTTCCCGATTGTGATCAATTTCTTCTTATACGATCGTGTTTTCTTGACTCATACATGTTAGGAAATCATAGAGAGCATCATATGTATAGTGAAAAATAAAAACAGAAACTGGTTTCCTAAAAACATATTTATCAAATTATCGTGTAAAGATCAGGGGCGAAAAACTTGAAAGCGATAAAAACCGCATAACTGCATATAGTAGTTGAGACGTTCTCACCTAGGGGAGATTTTATATCCCCTACTATGTAGATCCCAGTCTATGAATGAAGGAGATCTCGCAAACTCCTCTCTAGCAGTGATCCATATAGCGGATGTGGTGATGACACACCTCCTTGTGTAGCACTTTCTTTCCTTACATTCGTGTATCACCACACCGCAACAACCAATGAGGGATCAGTCCCTCTTACTAACCTCTCACACTAGAGAGGGGGCAGTCGGTTGGAGGAAAGGGTAGGGAGGAGATATAGGAGGTGACGACAGCATGGGTCTAGCCTATGATCTGTTTTAGTCCCAACTCCTATTTATAGAGAACCTCCTTTAACTAACTCTAATGGATCATTCTTTTTGGGCATTGGATCTCTATCCAATAACCCATAACTTAATGGATATTAGATTTTTATCCAATAATCATCCTAAGCTCTATTTGGTCTCTCCCAAAGATCTATTAAAATAGGGACTTATCGGATATACCATATCTAATCATCTATTCGTCACGTTGTCTATCATATGTGTGTGATATTAGGAAATCTTGGAGAGACATCACATGCACAGCGGAAGAATAGAAAACTAAAGTAGTTTTCCAAAGAACAATATTTGGTTGTCGTGATGGTTAGTGCGTGAAAAATCGTAAAACTAAAAAACTGCATAACATATGTGAGATGTATTACCCAGGGGAGATTGTATATCCTCGAAGACATAGATCCAATGTGTGGATGAAGGAAGTCAGATGTCATCTTCTCTAGTGGTGATCCATATGGTAGATGAAGTAGGAATACTCCTTTTGCAGCACAAATCCTCGTAGTCTTCACGCACCACCTTGTAGCAGTGATCAAGAAGGGTAAACCCCTTCTTGCCATCCTCTTGCACCACCAAGAGGGCTTTCGACTGAGGAGGAGAGGGAGGGGAGAGAATAGAAGGTGGTAGCTAATTAGATCTAGCCTATGACTCCTTTGGTCCCCTCTACCCTTCTTGCCGTCCTCTTGCACCACTAAGAGGGCTTTCAACTTAGGAGGAGAGGGAGGGGAGATAATAGAAGGTGGTAGCCAATTAGATCTAGCCTATGACCCCTTTGGTCCCCTCTTATTTATAGAGGTCCCTCTCAACTTAACCTTAATAAATCATACTCTATTGGATACTGGATCTTTATCTAGCTACCATAATCTCTTGGATTAATAGATCTCTATCCAATAATCACTATTTGGTCTTATTGGGTCTCATCCAAAAGATCAATAGATTTGCTTCCCCTTTGACTAAGGGTGGAGCAAACTAAGGGTGGTGTAGTTTGTTAAATTCTATAGTCATAGACTTAAATGCCCCCTTAGCTAATAGTTTCACGTGTCTTAGGTGCTCATTGGATGTTGACATCACGTCGGGTCAAGGAACCTCAATGGGTGTCAATATCGATAGATTTGGGGAGCGCAAGTAAGCTAGTGGTATTGCTTGTTGGACCAACTAATGCAAAAGCAGAGCAACGACCTATATCATACCTATTAGCATATGCATTTGCTGAGTGAGACGACAAGGACGAGTAGATGGCTCAAGGTCGTCTCTATGGTCAGAGACCTAGGTCTTTGAATAGGCTCCAGGATCTCATTGGTGTTTGCATCGAGGTGGATATACTATTGTGTAAAGATAATGGTTGCAGCCTCCATTAAATGAAAATACTATGGGTCAAGGGCAAAATATTTTTGCTCGAGTATTCAATAAAAAGATCGATGGATGAGTGTTCTTGCGACATTGGACCCTTCTTTTAGTGCTAGAAATATTATGGAAAGATATCGTTGGCATCTTGGTCAGCCCAACATAATTTTAAACTATATGCGTAAGAATATCCGAGATACCTTCGAAGTAGAACAATGAGCTCTCGATATGCCACCCGTACAAAGAGCAATGTCAGGAGAGGTTTCCTAACTTAGTCCTTCTGATGCTTAAATTAGTAACCTAAGAAAGATAAATGTAATGATCAATAGATAAAAAATAATCCCTCCCTCGACAACTACACCAAAAATAAACTCTTATATTTGATCGTAAATAAATATAATATTTTATTATTATATTATATGAAAAGGTAGCTCTAAACGGGTTTCAACTATTTTTCACATTTTCTGCATGTGGACTAAAGATGGCTCATAATTTTTTACCTTGAACCATCGTCCATATGAAGGACAACATCTGTTTTCTTTTTTTTATTCTGGATATTATATTAATGTCACGTATCAAATGATAATTGGTTATTCTCGCCACCAACGAACATTCACTTCCACATGCAATAGCAAAGATCAAATTGCTGACTTGAGATGCTCAAGAAATAGTCAAAATTGCAAGAACATTGGGAGTCCACCGCAATAAAATCCCAGCTGTACAAGAAGATGAATCAAGAGCACAAGATAAGATGCACAAGCAATAACATGTTGATGGGTGCCCCTTGACGATCTCCAAGAAACAGATTGCAGGCATGAATCAAACGCCATGGCAGTTCTATATGCAAAAATATAATGCAAGCATGAAATAGCACATTCTCTGGAATTAAAAATTCAGAAAATAATTTCTTAACCCAAGGAAGAGAATGAACATTTCCACCACACAACTAAATTTGACATTAGAAACAAAGGATATGATCTATAAGTACATAAGAAGATGCTCATACTATAAGCAAGGCTAAGCCTATGGAATAAGAAAGGATTAATAACAGCTGACGTTGAAAAAGCATAATCATTGTTATTTTCTAGCATACCGTTCGGGCTCAGATTGATCTCTAACACATTGTAAACGTTTCTCCTGCTTTAGTCTGAAGATGTTTGCAGAAAGGTTGTCACAATCCCTCAACATATGGCTGTGACTAGCAATCAAAAATTATATGAAATTATCTGAAACCCAAATTATATGCCATATGCTTAAGCCCAAGTTCACAAGAAAGAACACCCATTCAGCCCTCGCCAACCAACCCAGTTCATTCTCTCACTTCTGGTGTGGCACTGAATTAGGTATGTTATAATTAGACTCTAAATCTCAAGAAGGCTCAGTCCAACCATTGCTTCTTTCCTCTCAAGAGAAAGGAAAGCATTTTCCTAGAGTATATCTCAACCCAAGCTCTTCATCATCAAGGAGAAGCATGAGGTTTCCAGATGGGGAATCGAGAGTGCTCTCCAAT